TGTATTTTAGAAAGGTAACCCAGGGTTGGGTTGCGGCCCTAATGTGACCTTATGACCTGCTGAGTTTCTTCTCACCTGAAAACTGCGGTTCATTTCTGGTCCTTTGTCCAAGTCTCCTCCTCAGACATGTCCACGTGTGGAGACACCAGTGGTTTTGAATTACTGGACGAGGACTAACCGCTGTCTGGTCAAGACTAATATTTAGGGTTTGGGGTTTTATTCTGTTTCCAGTAAATAGTGGTGCAAAACGTTTCTGCTTAGAGAGAGATTTTTATTAAGTCCGAGAGAAACTGAAGATGGTTTTCTCAGGATGCTAGTTCTCAGACGGCGCCCCCATGGGGTTGATACGGTTCATCTCTGATGTTGTCTTGTCACTCCCTTCAGGTCTAAACCCCCGTTCATGTGAAATTTATTTCTACATGGGGGTTAGAACCATTTCCTCTGTGTTCCTTCCTGTTGTCAAATTGTTAAGGCCTTCAGGTAAATATGCTGCTGCTGCTGCTGCTGCTGTTACTGCTGCTGCTGCTGCTGCTGCTGCTGTTACTGCTGCTGCTGTTGCTGCTGCTGCTGCTGCTGTGGCCAAGTTTATCTGTGAAGATAACTTCAGCTGCAGAACTGAAGTCAAACCGTCCAAGTTCATCAGGACAGGAATTCTGTTGGGATTCGATCCAACATTCATACGTAGTTAACTGTAAATTGATGTTGTCTTTGACAGGAATATTTTACTGTCAAGATTTTTTTTATGTATTTGCAAAAATTATTATTACAATTGGAAGACTTTAGGAAAACCTTCCACCAACTTATGTCATGGTTAAGAAGTTCTGCAAAAAAAAAATCTGCTGTTTTTATTGCAATTGACAAACAATTATAGACAACATTTTTAATTTACTTTAATTATGTTCAAAGAAAACTTTTTCGCCCGCCAGCTACTCTTTTTTTAATTTGAGTCATTTTGTTTTGCCTACAGTAATAAAACCTTTTTAACTCAACACCCACTCATCACTGACTCTTGGGTGACCTGCTCAATCACACACAGCAGTCATTTTCAACACGTTTCAGGCAAGTCTGAGGCGGGATCGCAGCCCGAACTTTTTTGGCAAACCTCTCCGCCTCTTCACACCTGATGGAACCCACCCAGGTTTTAAAT